GCTACAATGTATCAAAGTTTGAGAGGTCTAGCATGAACAACCACTGGGTTACTGACCCTCAAACAAAAAGTGTTACTATCATCCCGGTCTCCTCCTATATATATATATATATCGTTTAATTTTTTTATTTCCCTGATCGATGATATTCTGAACCCAGTTGCATTTTTTAGTCGTATCTTCTATAACGTGGTTTACGGTAATCCATCCCATGATTCCTTTCAGCCAAACGCTATTTATGGTTTGTTTCTACAGAAACATTGTGCTTAATATAGGGTCAGTGACTGCCAAAAAACAGCTATATTAAGAGTACAGTGGAGTCAAATTTTTCTCCAAACATTTTAAAGCTTCTCGTAAGCGACGGACATCATGAATACTGCTGATTTTCAGACGCAGTTAACATCCATAATGGAAATTATGGCGAGAACCGCTGTTGTTGAAATAGGCAAACTTTTCGAGGAGAATTCTTTGTTGCTGCGACTAGAGATTTCACGCTGTACAAACGAAAACGAATCTCTGAAAAAGAAATGTCATTTTCTGGAGAACGAACTTAAGTTTGGAAAGATGAAGAGGACAGCTCCATTATCCCGCCATCCGGGACTTACAGGTGATTTATAAAACGCGTGCTGCTACTGTGAATTTGGCCAAAATTAAACCCAGAGATAGAGGGACACATGAGGATGTGCAGGCTAATTAAAGACCCGAGCTAGCAAACTGTAGGCTGTGGGACTTGAGGGACTGTTGATTGCTTACTCGTGACTTGTGCCAAGGGGATTTTATGACGCTTCAAGTGGGGTCATTTATAGGAAAGGGTGTCTGTTCTCGTGAATTACTACTGATATAATTCACAGATTAGTGAACATTATTTGATAGATTGTAATGCAGAAACTTTAGCAGAGAAGGTTTTGTATTTTCTCTTTTTTATTATTAAAATTAGTTTTGTATTTATTTTTGTAGTTGGCCTAATGCCGAGTTCACACTACACTATTTTCAAAGACGTCGCATCACTGTTGTTTTTACACTGAACGACTATCTGGGGTAGCATTCAGTCGCTGCTGTGTTC